GTGTGTAAATACATCTAAATGCCACTTCAGATGCGGATTCTGTGTTTCCTCTGCATTGCAAAGATGAATTTTGTTGATACTGATTTCATAATTCACTGATATGGACACTTTTAGAAAAAATGGCTTTATAAAGGTAAAAATGCCCATGAAATGTAAAAATCTGTTTAAACTTATTGGAAAAGATTAATTTCTTATCAGTGTGAACTGACCACCATACAGAATATGAAGAATATCAAAAACTTTAGGAGTCAAATGTTCATGCTACACTTCTCCATACAATGAAAGCTGCAGCTCGAAAAAGAGCCAAGAAACGACAAGTGCCAGAAAAAAAGTTCATATGACTGATTTACATATTACTAGTAGTTACATATTATTAAGTTACTATACTCCATTTCTTCCGGAGTCATAAAATAGCTTTGTGAGACAAAAACAGCAATATTTAAGTCTAATATTAAAATGTCCAAAATCACGGACGTTAAATTCATTTCATACAGCATATCAGAATATTTGCAAATTAGATTTTAAAGGCAGAGGGTAATAATTATAGTGAAAAACTTAGTAATGTACCGCTGTTTGGCGAATTTTTGCTTTGAGGGCGAATTATTTCCTCATGCAGATTTCGCAACGGGTTCACACTTGTCACGTGGATTCATCGAATTAACCAGAAGAAAGCTGCTTGTTTTGAAAGGGACTTCTGTGTGAGCTGTGCTTCTTACGTCACTTATACTATTGACAATATACGATTTTGACAAATTTTGCTAATGTGACTGCACTTATGACTTATTGGATTGGAGAACATTTGGAATGTAGCACAAGTTGTACAAGCTACTTGTATGGAGCTTTTTGTATTGAAAAGAGCAGCGTGAACATTCTGCTAAACGTCTCCTTTTTTGTTCTATGGAACAAAGTCATAGCTTTGGGGAGTAAATTGTTTCAATACACAATTTTCATCTTTTTAACAAGGTGATAGATTACTGATTATTGTCTTTTTTCATCTGATATCAAACAGGATCTTGCTGAAAGTGAGATATATGGAACAATTAGATTTTGTTGAATCGTATTTCTGAAATTGATCTGAAGACGGGTATACACAACTTCCAGTACCTGTTTAAGTGCATTGCGAGCGATAGTTTGGAAGGCCTGCTCCACGTTAATGGCTTCTTTGGCACTGGTCTCAAAATAGGGGATGTTGTTCTTACTCTGACACCACGCTTGAGCTCGCTTTGTCGTTACCTGTTCAAAACAGAAAGGATTTGGGGATGAAATGATGAATTACATCTACAAATGGCTTATATATTATTTTATTAAGTCACTTAATATTCTCTTGATAGACAATGTTCCCTGTTCTAATTTTGGCTATTTGCCTATTTTTGAGATTATTGGCCAATAATGGTCCTTTCACATAGACTACCATTAAATTTTTTTTATTTATTTTTTTTATTAAATTGATCAAAAGTGATAGTAAAAGTATTTATAATGTTGCAAATGCTGTTTCACATAAATGCTGTTCTTTTCAACTTTCTATTCATCAAAGAATCCTGAAAAATAAGTTAAATATGAAGCAGCACAACTGTTTTTAACATTGATAATAATCAGAAATGTTTCTTGAGCAGCAAATCAGAAACTGAAGACTGGAGTAATGATGCTGAAAATTCAGCTTTGATCACAGGAATCAATTACATTTTAAAATCTATTCAAATAGAAAATTATTATTTTAAATTGTAATCATATTTAATAATAGCTGCTTTAAACATTAAGATGTTATTAAGCACTATACAAATTAAATGAAAAAATAATAATACAAAATAATGCAAAAGATCGTATTATTCATAAAAAAATAAAAAAAATAAAAAAAACATTCTTTTTGGGGTAAAGTACCCAGACATTTATTTAGTGATTCACCCATACAGGAATTACACTTCCATTCAAAAGTCGGAATTATTTATTTATTTTAATGATTTTGAAAGAAGTTACTGACCCCAAACTTTAGAACGTTAGTGCACATCTCATTATATTATCCATATCAACCATTCAAAACACACAATGCTCATGCATTCGTTCTACTCATTTGTAACTCTTTAAAACCAAGGCGTTTTTAACCATACCAGCTCTGGTCTGCACACTGACCTGCCGGTTCTCCAGGTCGATTTTGTTGCCCAGCACAACAAAGGGGAAGTTCTCTGGGTCACGAGGACTGGACTGAATGAGAAACTCATCCCTCCAGCTGTCCATAGTCTTGAATGTAGTTGGTGCCGTGACGTCGTACACCAGCACGCAACAGTCCGCCCCTCTGTAGAAAGCCACGCCCAGAGACTGAAAGCGCTCTTGTCCCGCCGTGTCCCAAATCTTGAAGAAGAAAACCGAATTATTTACAGTAAATAACAAGAAGTTGATTAACAACACTTTCATTTTTGCCACTATGTTATTTGCCTTTATTAAAGGGACAGTTCACCCAAAAATGAAAATTCTGTCATTATTTAGTCACCCTGTGTGTAACAGTTGCTGGTCCCCATTGACTTCCATAGTACTTCTTTCCATACTACGGAAGTCAATGGCTACCAGCAACTGTTTAGTTACCCACGCATTCTTCAAAATATCTTATTCTGTGTTCAGCTGATGAAAGAAACACATACAGGTTTGGAACAACTAGAGGGTGAGTAAATGATGACAGAATTTTCATTTTTGGGTGAACTATCCCTTTAACAATTTAGAACAGCCTCTTGTACCTTATTAATAATAATAATGACACTAATAAACATACAAAATTTGGTGTCTATTCTTGTGTTGTCCATTTGGCAAAGGCTAATATGGGATTCATAAATGCATTCATTAGTAAAGTTATCATGAGCAACTGCTCAGACAGAATAACTACAGTATTATAATATAGAAAAACGAATTATTATTACTTTTCAGGAATAACTTCACAAATACTGCTTGTCTGGGCATGTCACATGAGCGGTCATACAGGTTACAACATGGCTACAAGTAAACACAACATGAATCTGTGCTGACTGGGAAAATACCAGCGGATTACCAGACATCAAGCTAAATGTGACTTATTTATTTCACATGATCAGCACATGGCATCAGAAGAACTTTGACGTCAGAATGAGTGTCAAACACTGAGACGAGATCCTACCCATGAGCTATGAGTAACTACAGAGGCTTCATATTTGTGAGATGACTGTATGAAGCAGAGTGTCACATGACCAGAGATGATTACTGCTGCCTGTGAGGAATTGTTCACAAAATAATGGTTGTTCAGGAAATGACAGCGTCATCTTCAGAGCACTCTGGCCTCGTATTCATTTCTCAGCAGTTTCCAAACAACTCATTTCATTGGTAAATCACCGCTATTATAGGCGTATGACAGTAAATCTGACATAAACTTAGTTTTTACTCCAAAATCAAAGGAAGAATGATCTATTTAAAGATGATGCTTGGCATAAAAATGTCCATAAATAATACCATTATGTCACTTTTGGCTTTCACATTTTTCTTTCATTTAAGTGTTGATTTTTCTCTCATCTTTCATATTTTTCGTAAAGCTGCTTTAAACATACAAATTAAACAATACAAATTAAATAAAAAAATAATAAAAACTATGCAAAAAAAAGTGTATTTTATCCTTCTAAAAATACACTTCATTTTTTCTTTTGGATTTTAGGGTGAATTATGACCCAGACATTTCTTTATGTTATTCACTCATACATGAATTGCACTTTCATTCAAAGGTTTGGGGTTTGAGATTTTTTCATGTTTTCGAAAGACTCACCAAGGCTGCATTTATTTGATCACGGATACAGCACAAACAGTAATTCTATGGGAATTCTATTCTATGTTTTCTGTGTGAATAGGTTTTAAAATGTAATTATTCCTGTGACGTAAAGCTGTATTTTCAGCATCATGACTCCAGTCTTCAGTGTCACATGATCCTTCAGAAATCATTCTCATATGATGATTTGCTCAAGAAACATTTCTGATTATTATGTTAAAAACAGGCTTCATGTTTCTGTGGAAACTGTGATACATTTTATTTTTCAGGATTCTTTGATGAATAGAAAGTTCAAAAGAACGAAAGAATCCGTTGTGACGTTATAAATGTCTTTACTGTAACTTTTGATCAATTTAATGCATCCCTGCTGAATAAAAGTACTGATTTCTTAACCAAAAAAAATCTGACTCCAAACTTTTGGACGGTTGTATGAGTGAAATGCGCTCCAGTTAAATATAAATGAATGCAAACCTGCATGGTGACCAGTCTGTCGTCCACCATCACCTCCTTAGTCAGGAAGTCGGCTCCAATAGTGGCCTTATACTGATTACTGAACTTATTATTCACATACTGGTTCATCAAAGAGGTCTTCCCAACTCTGTCAAAGACAAACGGGACAAATGCATTCAACAGGCAGTGTAATGAGCAATGCTTCAACTGATATCATCATCTTGATAATATTCTTCAGCAGTAAGCTATAGTCCTGCATGACGGACTGCACTCATCCAGCAGTGTTCAGAGTTTCACAGAGAGTGTGATCGGCCATCAGGACTTCCGACACCGAGGCCGTGGATGATGGGAAGTCAGGGGAATCCCTTGAGTCATGCCAAGCCAATGATGTTTACATATGCACAGCTGCTTTAGATGTGCATTACAGAGCACAAAGTGTCCCGACTGATTATAACCATCTAAACATCACTGATAGCACAAAGATGTTGCACAAACACTTACCCAGAATCCCCTAGGATGATCACTTTGAGCAGCACCTTCTTAGGAGAGGCCATGGTGTGTAGGAGAAAGCTGTGAAGCAGAGACGGATGCTAGACAGAAGCAGAAGATGCGTTATTTGCCACAGACAAATGCTCGACAGGTAAACTTACACTTAAAAGCTGAAACTGCACAATTGTGTTCTTAGGCACTATTTTAGGCATATTATATTTGATCTTTGACTTTAAATGAACTAAAATGAATGTGTAATATGTCAAGGTTACAAGTACATATTTATTGTTGAATTACTATTTTCAATTCCATAAAAATAACTGGGGAAAAAAATGTTAGATTAGAATAAACTATATTCTAAAACGAAGGAGAAAAGGCAGCAATCAAACTGTAGCGTTCATGCAGTGGCTGAAGTTCAAAGAATGAATTAATGTGATTCACTGAATCATGTGACGCTACTGTCGTGAAAACATGCAGTTACATTGTAATAAACGCATTTCAGACAGTATTAGAGAAGCGAAACCCACAAAGTCTTTGTTTTGTGTGACCAAGAACTTTGTCCTGGTAAGGACCGATATTGTATGCCATGATGATACCGAACCAATCAATAGAACGATACACATAATCCACATTATGAAATGCAAACACATAAAAGAGCATTCGGGTCTAAAATGATGTAATATTCTATGCCCCAATCAGCTTGACAGATTTTGTGAGGAAAACAAACTGTCAAGACAATTTACTTTCACCTCTTCGCGTTTACCGTCGCGGCTGTTTTGATATTCGCTGCGCGTCCGAATCTTCCACAAAAATCACCCAGTGTTTCTTATGATCCAGATGCACATCAGCTGTTGTGGAGTATTATGCGTTTCTTCCGGAGCAGAACAGGACATGACTGTGGAGTCACAAGGGACTGACGCAAAATATTGATGTTCGAATCACGAGCGCATTGTGTTTCAACCGGTTCTATTGAGTGATTCATTCGAACCGATTCGCAAGGAGATTTAAATCGGTCTACAGTATGAGAGGCTTTAGGGAGAAAAAAAACCGGTGAGGTGGGTGACACGGTAGAGCGTTTGACAGCACAATAAACATGGTTATGAACAATAATAACAATAATATTTGACTAAAATGTGCTGCCACCGTAAAGTCTTAGAAGAACCCTTTTGAGTGAACCCATTTAAATGAACTGTCCGGACGAACCGATTCGCTAAAATGAATCGGACTTCCCCTCCCTCATTTTCTAATGACTCCAAAATGGCGAGGAGGAAGAAATAAATTAAACGAATCCCTCACTTTATAGCAGTTAGTGTATACAGTATTCTACATTTTATTTTTATTTGGATGAAACATACAAGCCAACGAAACTAAATAATTACATATAAAAACAACTTTTTATCCACATGCATTAGCTATCCATATGCCTCCCATATGGATATGCATGCAGAACTTTGAATTAAACGAGTAAACTCATTGTAGTAACAAATAAAAATAAAAATGGTCATGCAACTCAAACTTACCTAAAGGTGCATTTATGATAAGTTTAATCAGGAAAAAAATTCAAAAATAAAATTTGGATAAAAGCGTCTGCTAAATGACTAAATGTAAATGTAAAATAAACAGGGCAGGGAGAGGCTCTTCCTGTGCTCGTCTTTTCCTTATGGTCTTCGTCATGTGATTTGCACATTTTGATCATTTGTGTCTAAATTCTGACTCATTCACACTTCCTCAATAACTTACCTCACCAAGCCTACTACCCTAACTCATATCTTTTTAATCTGTCATATAATTTTACACAAACATCCTAATAGATTCGACACATTTCGAATCTTTTAAAATGTTATGAAATTATTTTTTTCTTCGTAATTCCAGAAGAATTACCTAAATCCTAATGCTACTGTGATACTGAAGCCCACTGAAGAAATATTGTAGGGGTCCTGATGTTGGAAAGGGGCGTGGAGAAGCAGGCATGACATGTTATGATTGACAAGTCTTTTATCCAATGAGCTGAAAATAGACTCTAGCGTCATCACTGCGTTAGCCAATCAGATTTCTCGTAGCTGACGCCGGATCCGTCTTTGACAGCCTGCTGTAAAGGGCGCAGAAAAGCGAAACCTCGAAACATGTCGGTCCTTCCGTGACTCTACGTTGTATTTTCCATATTTCCAGCATGACAGTGAGCGTTATAACGCTCTGATTGTGTAATTCTGTAGAAGGCTCGACACAGCGCATTACGGTAGGGTATGTAGCCCGTTTTGCTAATGTTTATATGGTTTCTCCTGTCATGTAACCTTGTTCTGCTGGCAGCAGCACACCCTGCTGGGCTGATGTCTGTCGTGAAATATTCAATATAACTGCAAATTAATGATCAAATTAGTCTCATTTTATTGAATGATAATGATTTGTGCAGACCTGTGCTTTTAATTACTAGCTATATATATATATATATATGTGTGTGTGTGTGTGTGTGTGTGTGTACTACAAATTAATCACATCAAATTAGTGTCTTTCAGGGTCATTTGTTCAGACTTGTGCTTTTTACATGTGAAGCGTAAGATATATATGATATATATGTAAGATGTATATGAGTTTATGATTTAAACACAATCTGCCAGTGGACTCAGAAAAAGAAACGTAACTACCACATTGGCAGATATATGTTCTTGTTTTAAGTATAGATTTTGCCACAATTTTATGAATTTAAGACTTTCTGCCCAGATGTAAGGGTGAATTAAGACTTTTATTAATTAATATACACACACACACGCACACACACATATTATATATATATATATATATATGTGTGTGTATGTATGTATGTATGTATCAGCTTGTATCACAAATATGGGTGAATAATGTTCCATTGTCATTCAGAGTAACATATTTATTATTTTTAAAAAGAAGCAACATACTAATTCAGACCTGTACTTATTAAAATATATAAAAGAGAAAGTGATCATACAAAATGTAATTGTATTTTAAATGATTAAAAACCTCTTGCTGTAAAAAATTGGGAAAAATGTGTATGTATGTGTATATATATATAATATATAAAACGCTGCTATAATGTGTGAAGCATCTCTATTGATTAAGCTACAATCTGTTGTTTGAGTATAGCAGCTTTACACTCAGTGCGTCCATTTGTCTTTCTCTTCATAGATGGAAACTCTGATTCCCATCATTAACAGGCTGCAGGAGGTTTTCCTCACACTTGGAGCCGAGATCATCCAGCTTCCTCAGATCGTAGTCGTGGGGTCACAGGTGAGTCATGAAAAATATGCAAGGGTTGAATATGAGGCTTTATGCAGTGTATTAAAATGCAAAGCGTCACTACTTCAGGTGTCATCTTTGTTTCGTGATGATACATCATGCACATCATGAAGCAGGTCTACATGTAAACACAGTGCCAGTATTTTCTCTGTGAAGTCAAGCATGTGCTCTGTGGGTCTCTTCAAATGAATCTACAGAGCAGTGGAAAGAGTTCAGTACTGGAGAGTTTGGTTGGACGAGACTTTCTGCCCCGAGGTTCAGGAATAGTGACTCGGCGCCCTCTAGTGTTACAGCTGGTGAACGTGCCTCCGCTGGAGGAGAGGCGGAAACAAGACAATGGTAACAAGTGTCTCTCTTTTAAGGGTTTATCATATCTGTACTCTATCGACTGCAGACACACATACTGTGGCTCAAAAAATAGTGGTCTTCCAAAATAAACAGTATTTTTGGGCGTCATTGAAATTACTGTGATGCCCGGAAATACTGTCTAGGTAGCTTACTAGGTTTTATGACACAGCCAGAAAGTTTAAACATATTGAAAAAAACAAAAAACAGAGTTACGGTTTTTCACAAGAGACCATGTCTAGCACACAAGTGCTTGCTTTGCATACCTTGAAGTAGAAGTAGAACAAATATTTTTTCAGTGTTCTTCAAGTAAAAAACCTTTAAGAAATATTCTGGTTTAGTACATAACATGCTAAAATACACACTACCTCAAAAATATCTCCACAATACATAAACATTTTAAATGGTAATAAGAAGCTTACCAGTTAAATTAAAGCTCACGTTTGAAGTTGGTAAGATTTTATTTGATCAAAAATGCAGTAAAGACAGTTGAAACTTTTTCTATTTTAATCTTTTTTGAAAAATGAATTCATTCTTGTGATCAAAGCTGAATTTTCAGCATTACTCCAGTCTTCAGAAATCATTCTAATATGATGATTTGCTGCTCAAGAAACATTTATTATTATTATCAATGTTGAAAACAGTTCTGCTTTGCTTCATATTTTGTGGAAACCATGATACATAACAGGGACAGCCCGGAGGGCAGGACCTCGTACTGATATGCTCGTCCTTCGGACACGAACCACAGCAATGGTCTGTGGTGCGGAAGGGTCGACACATGAAGTACGCGTCCTTCAGGTCGACCGCTGCAAACCAATCTCGGGGACGGAAGCACCCGAAGATGCGTTCCTGCGTCAACAGGGGACCCGGCCCGGGCGTCTCGTAGCCGGTCCGAGGCGGGGTCTGGGTGTGTGTAACACTAAATAATCGCGATTATACGGTTATTTAATTATCGCGACAGGCGTACCAATGACGTCATAACCCCTCGATTTCCGGTTTTGTTTTGTAGAAATGTTTTTTATGAATTTATTATTTTGAATATATTATGGCTGTATAGGTCTTTTATTAAGTTTTTAGTTTTATTTATTTTGAGTTATTTTAATACTTCAACAAACTAAATGGAAATGAAATAATATATATATGG